ACCAGGCCCACCCGGTCGTCGCCCGGACCGACAGGACAGGACCGACACTGCCACGGCACTGCACCGGCTCTGCCGCGCCCTTTCGGCTTTCAGGCTTTCTGCGTTCTGCTTTGGCGCCAAGTTCTTGACCTCGGCGCGTACCTCTGCCCGCCCTGCCTGGCCCTGCGCGCGCGAGGTCAACGAGGGCACGAGGGGCGGCAGGAAAATGGGTCGGCCTGTCCCGGGTTCGAATACCGCCGCCGGCCTGCGCCATTTTGTTGTTTTTGTTGTTGGTGCTTTTTCGCCCGCGGCTGACGAGCCCTTGTTGTCGCGTGCTGACTCGGGGCTGACTGGCCTGGACTCTGGACGCGACGGTTGTTGCGCGGTGGCGGCGGCGGCTAGGGCGGTAATCGATAGGGGTATGATAGGTCGCCTACCTGTAGGGGTCGCGGGGGTAGCAGGCGCCGGCACCCCTAGGCACCCCTAGGCACCCCTTTCCCCGTCCACGAGTGCGCGAAGCGCGAAGCACGTCCCGTGATGACAAAACAATGACGGGGTTCGCGTTTCACCCCCTCCCCTTTCCAGTGCGGTGCCGTGCGTGCGTTTGGCCGCCCGTTTGGCCGGACCGCCTGCTGATGCAAATAATCGCCGAAATGACGGCGTGCTTGATTTTCATGGTAATGAATGTGTGTCGGTCGCCCTGTCTGCGTCGCTCGCATGCGGGCCTCCGCGAGTGCGACAGAGAGAGACAGAGAGAGAGAGAGAGAGAGTCCTCGGGGCGCGTAGGAGGCCGGAGGGTCGGGGCGCCAGTTGGCACGGGGTTGTTTGCAGTGGCGTGTCACTGCGTGTCACTGCGTGTCGCGGGGGCGGCGGCCGGCCGTGCGCGCTGGGTCGGCAATATGACTCGAGATGGCCACAGGCACCACAGGCAGCCCCGTGCCGCGGCATCGCCTCGTCTGTCTCTCTCGCACCCCTGCGAGACGCGCCGTGGGTGCGAGAGAGACAGACGAGGCGACAGGGCGAGGCGTATCGGAGCGGCATTGAGCCGCGGTCGGCCGCCTTGGGGGCGGGGCGCTGGAGCAGGGACCTTGAACCGCGCCGCGTCCCCGCGCCCAACTCACGTTTTCGCCCTGCGCACATCGAACCTCGCCCAGGGGCAGGCACCCTCGCTCTGTCTCCCTCGCGCTCGCGAGACGGTCCGCAGGGGTGCGAGAGAGACAGCGACGCGGCCAAGTGTGACCCGGCCTTGCATTGCACTCCTGGCGCACGCACGTGTTTTGTGCACGGCCAGCTGGCCGCCGCACAGTGGGCCAGAAGACCAGCGGAGGCGGCCAAAATTCTGGACGCGTTTCGAGCTCCAGAGTCGCTAAATGGGACTCGAACCGAACGTGTGACCCCACCAATGGATTCCTCGTTCGGAGAGCTATCCGTTGGTGAGGTCACTCGTTCAGTTCGAGCCCCACTTAGCGACTCTGGAGCTCGAAACGCGTCCAGAGCTTTGGCCGCCTCCGCCGGTCTTCGGCCCACTGTGCGCCGAGGAGAGGGGGCAGGCTGCCCGCTGCGCCCGCTGCGCCCGCTCGGCCGTGCCGGTGAAAGGTTTGGTTCTGAATCGCTTCGCCGACTGGCTCGGCGCGGCTTGGCTTCCGTCCGAGTCTCCTTCTCGGCCTGCCCGGGACTGCCCGGGACTTGCCCGGGACTTGCCGGAGTGCGGTGTCGATGTGCGCGCCGATGTGTGTCAGAGTGTCAAGACGGCCAGTGAGGCCAGCGAGGCCATGAACCCCCTCTTGAAGGGCGTCTGGACCAGGTAGTAGTCGCAGCCCACTGCACTGTCAAACTATTTTTCGGCGGCCGCGGCGCAGAGTAGGCCGCGCTCGCAACAGGTGGCACTGCAGTCGCTGCAGTCGTCATGTCATATTCGCTTGTTTACATTGGTGCGCCGCGCTGCCGCGGCGGCCCGCGCGGGGAGTCGAACCCGGGGCCGCGGCGTCGTCGTCCACCAGGGGGTTATGTCGGCCGGGGCTGCCCGCGGGATGTTGCGTTTCTCTTACGCGGATCCCCCGAGCGAGCGCGGCCGCGGGTCGGTTCGAGCCGCGTGCTGGCGGGGCGGCGGGGCCCGGCTATCGAAGACCTGGCTGCCCGGCCTGCCTGGCTGCCGGGGGAGCCGAGCCGGACAATGACTCTGGCGGTTGTTTTCCTTCTGGGGCGTATCGCGTCGCCGCACTGCCAGGCCCGCCAGGTCGGACTCAAGGCCCGCCGCGGCCCACGCTATCTCGGCGACGAACTGGCTTCGCGCGGCGCGGGTTCGAGTCCCGCCCGCAGCCGTCTTCTGGCCGACTTTTCGAAGCTCACCTGTCTGGAAAAAAGCGTCCTTTGCACTTTCTCTGCGCGTGGGTGTCGTCCTGTCATCGCTCTGTCTGTCTCTGCGGCACTCATGAGGCACTTTGGAAGGGTGCGAGCGAGACAGAGCGAACCTCAAAGGTATACCCGGTAGGTACTGTTGCCCTGCCTGCCGCCGTGTTAGTTGCTCTGTCTCCTTCGCACTCATGGAGCGTCCCTTCGAGGTGCGAGAGAGACAAGAGCGACGAAAACGACTCGGGCCTGCCCCAATGGGGTGAGTGCGGGGGCGAGGGGGCCACAGCCACACCGTGTCGCCTCCGCCCTGCCTCCCTCTCTCTCCCACCCGGAGGGTGGCGCCTCCCCTCTGTCCCTCTCTCTCCCTCTCGGTCCGGACTAGCCGCGGTACGGCGGTACGGCACAGGGAGATCGCACTGGTCGCCTCAGTGGTCGATATGCGCACCCCCCCGCCCTGTGTCTCCCTTGTGCCTCCGGCCTCCCTTCGGCCTCCCTTCGGCGTCCCTTCGGCGTCCCTTCGGCGTCCCTTCGGCGTCCCTTCGGCGTCCCTTCGGCGTCCCTTCGGCGTCCCTTCGGCGTCCCTTCGGCGTCCCTTCGGCGTCCCTTCGGCGTCCCTTCGGCGTCCCTTCGGCGTCCCTTCGGCGTCCCTTCGGCGTCCCTTCGGCTTCCCTTCGGCGTCCCTTCGGCGTCCCTTCGGCGTCCCTTCGGCGTCCCTTCGGCGTCCCTTCGGCGTCCCTTCGGCGTCCCTTCGGCGTCCCTTCGGCCTCCCTCCGGCCTCCCTCCGGCCTCCCTCCGGCCTCCCTCCGGCCTCCCTCCGGCCTCCCTTCGGCCTCCCTTCGGCCTCCCTTCCACCCTCCCTTCGGCTACCTCCACCCTGCCGGTCGGAAATGAGCTGAAAATGGAAGTGGGTGCGTTGTTTGCGGGGCAAGGGCCGCAAGGGCTGCGGGGGCGCGCTGCGCTAAGGTGGGGCTGTCCGCGTTGTCCGCGCTGTCCCCCTCTCTGATTGGCCAAGACGGCCTCGTCACGCGCCGGCCCCCTTTACAGCGGACTGTCCCCTCTCGGTTCCCTTTCGGCCCCCCGGCGACCTCCCCCCCCCCCTCCCCCCGGATGCTGGGACTCCCTTTAAAGGACGCCCATACTGCGGGCGTGAATGTTTGATAGGCGCCCCACATACGAGCCACCCACTGGCCGGGCCCTGACGGGGCCCTGGCGCGCACGTGAGGGTAGTTAGCCCCCCACCCCGCCCCGCTTCGCCCTCGGGTCGTCAAAGGCTGTGATTAGGTATGGGATTACTCTAAGACGCGGCGTCAGGCGCCAGACCCGTCCTCCGTGGTGCCCCCCGTGGCCGCGGTGCGGCGCCGGCCTTGGAGCCCCGCCTGGAGTCCGGGTGCTGGACCGCTGGACGCGCTGGGCCATCCTGGACCTCGTCCTGGACGGACCGCGGCGAACCGCGCGCTTTCTCTGACACCAGGAAGTGGCGGCCCAGGCCGGGGCCGAAGCCAGGGCCCAAGCCAGGCTGCAGACTGACCGCGCGCACCGCGCGCCGCACCGGGAGCTCTGTCTCTCTCGCACCCGCACGGCCCGCACGGCGCGCCCCCTGAGTGCGAGCGAGACGGCGCGATAGCAGAGGAGGGGAGGGGGCCGGCTCGTGCTCTATCTCGATTCCGCATGCGGAACGCCGTGCTGCCATGCTGCCGTGCTCCGTCCATGTTTTATGAAATTCATTCTGTCGTCGGCTTACACGCGGCCTAGGCCTGGCGGGGCGGGGCGGGGCGGGGCGGGGCGGGGCGGGGCGGGGCGGGGCGGGGCGGGGCGTTCTGCCAATGCCCGCTCGCATCGGCGACACTTGGGGTCATGAACCACCTGCACGCCGAGAAGCGGTCAAAACCCTTTCCTCTGCCGAGTGATTCCGATTCCGCGTGATTGGCTGTCTTTCTCACACTCCCGCACAGTGGGCCAGAAGACCGGTGGAGGCGGCCGAAACTCCAGACGCGTTTTCAGCTATGAGTCGCTAAGCAGGACTCGAACCGAACGTGTGGCCCCACCAATGGATTCCTCGCTCGGAGAGCAATCTATTGGTGGGGTCACACGTTCGGTTCGAGTCCCATTTAGCGACTCTGGAGCTCAAAGCGCGATCGGCGTTTTGGCCGCCTCCACCGGCCTTCTGGGCCACTGCGCCCCGCGGCGCGCCCCGCGAGTGCGCCAGAGACAGTTCCGCGTCTCGTCACGGCCGCGCCAGCCGGAATGCCCCGCCGACATCCTCGTTCGTATTGGTATTCGGCGGCCGCGAACCGCAATGTTTGGCCGCAGGACGCAGTGCAGGCCCGCGCCGGTCACTTCCGGGAAGCGGCGGCAAATTTGAAACGACGCGCCGTTTAACGGCGTAGTAAAGCTGTTCGAGGAAGCGGCGCGAGGATAGAGAGAGAGGGAGAGCGGCGCCCGCCGGGTAGGCAACCCTTCGGACGCTCGCGCGCGCTGTGCTGCCGGCCGCTCCTGCTCTCGCTGCCTTTCTCACTCCGTTTCTTTCTCTGCGTCTTTCTTTTTTGTTGTTGCTGTTTTTGTTTCGCTCCTGGTAACGACGACGCTGTCTCCGGCGCAGCGGGAATTCAAATCAGGCAAGCGGATTTGACGCTATCCGTCCGGGGGTGAATTGAGAGACAAGACCGCCGTTTTGTAACAAGAGATATTTTATTTTGTGCGTGGAAAAGGGGAAAACAAGGTTGGCTAGTCGACGGTGAGCTGCCTGAAGGAGCCCTGGCAGCCGAAGATCTCCTCGGCCAGGGCGCTCTTGTCGCCGACGCGCTTGGACTCGTCGCTCTTGACGCCCTCCTGGGCCAGGAACCAGCCTCGGTACGCCTCGATCTTCTGCCGCCACTTGTCTGCAAGTTTCCGCGTTCGAACACCCCGTCATTATTATTTTTTTTTGCCGAGCGCTGCTGCACAGTGGGCCAGAAGAACGACGCAGGCGGCCGAAACTCTAGACGCGTTTTGAGCTCCAGAGTCGCTAAGCAGGACTCGAATCGAACATGTGACCCCACCAATGGATTCCTCGTTCGGAGCGCAATCCATTGGTGGGGTCACACGTTCGGTTCGAGTCCCATTTAGCGACACTGGAGCTCAAAACGCTTCTAGAGTTTTGGCCGCCTCCACCGGTCTTCTGGCCCGCTGTGCGCGCTGTGCGCCGTACCTACCGCTGAGCTCCTTGAGGGAGGCCTCGTCGCCGCCGTAGTCCCGGGGCAGCATGGCCTTGGGCACGTGCTCGTAGAAGCTGTCCAGGCCGGGCGGGTGGATGATGACCTGCAGGGCAACAGTAACTTCGGAGTATAATTAAATTTAGCCCGAGTCGCAGCGCGCGGGGGCGGGCAGGGCCTCGGCCAGGGCCGTGTCAAGGTCAAAGTCCTCCTGGGGCTTGACCTCGTCGTCGGCGTGCCCGCCTTGGGATCCTTTTCGTTGTCCGCGGTGCGCCACTCACCCTGTCCTGGATCTTCTTCTTGAGGAAAGGCTTGATGAGGCTCTCGATGGTGCTCATGTAGGAGGGCGCGTTGATGACGTGGATCTGGTGGATGCGCGCCGGGTACGCCGCCTGGAACGGACGACAGAAACGAAAGTTTGCACCGCCAGCTTGCTGTATTCTGCGTGTCGAACCCGGGGCAAGTCCCTGACCACGCGGGTCGCATGGCTTTACTGCCGACGTGGGTTCAAACACCGGCGGCGGCCAAGGGGGTGGTTTTTTTCTTCTTTCTCTCTCGCTCTGCCGCTTGATTGCGCAAGGGAGAGGGCTGCGGCGCTGCCGCCGTGTTATTACGGGCCGCTGTTACGTGATTACAGGACAGGCTGTCGGGCTGCCTGCAGAGGACAGGGAGGAGCCTGGCGTCTCTGTGGAGCCTGGCTGGCCTGGCTCGCCTGGCTAGCTGGTGACAAGCTGCCTGATTGACCCAGCACGGCTCGGCCCGCACAGTGGGCCAGAAGACCGGTGGAGGTGGTCAAAACTCTAGACGCGTTTTGAGCTCCAGAGGCGCTAAACAGGACTCGAACCGACCGTGTGACCCCACCAATGGATTCCTCCTTCGGAGAGCAATCCATTTGTGGGGTCACTCGTTCGGTTCGAGTCCTGTTCAGCGACTCTGCAGCGCAAAACGCGTACTGACCAGCGAGCAGGCGAAGAAGTTCCTGACGAAGGGCAGCGTGGCGGTGAGCTTGGCCATGTGGGTGCCCGTGTTGTGCTGCAAGTCCAGCACGCACACCTCGCCGGCGCACAGGTCCTCGCGGAACTTGATGTCCATGGTCATGCTGAGGCGCCGGTACAGGTCCTCGAAGCTGAAGTCGGCCATGTCGCCGCCGTAGGACTCGGGCGGCGCGTACGCGTGGATGTGGACGCGGTGCAGGTCCTTGGTCAGCTTGGGCAGCGTGGCCACGTAGCTGTAAGCAGGGCAGAGACGTTCCATGTCATGGAGACAAGCCACACTCTGAAAATTGGAAAGTGGGTGAAATATCACCGCCCCCCTCGGTGGGCGCGGCAAGCGCAGCAAGTCGGCTCGCACCGTGTTTCACGAATTGACAAGGCGGTGATGAATGCCTCCCCCCCTCCTATCCGCACTTGAACTGGCGCGTCGCGTGCTGCCCTGCCGGTGCCGCCAACACTGCGGCCCGGAAGCGAGGCTCATTCATAATCGAAAGAAAGGCGTCCGTCGGGAAGGGTGTCCCCGCCCCGCCCTGGCCGTGACGGGGTGCTCCCCGACGCACAGTGGCGGTCGAAATGCCGGACGCGTTTTCATCTCCAGAGTCGCTAAACGGGGCTGGAACCGAACGTGTGACCCACCAATGGATTCCTCGTTCGGAGAGCAATCCATTGGTGGGGTCACACGTTCGGTTCGAGTCCCATTCAGCGACTCTGGAGCTCAAAACGCGTCTAGAGTTTTGGCCGCCTCCACCGGTCTTCCGGCACATGCGACGGGGTGCTCCCCGACGGCCTTGCAGCCCTCGCGGCGCGAAGGTCGCGAAGCAGGTCGAGGGGAAGGCCAGCGTTTGCGCGCCGCTTCCGCGCTGGCCGCGTGAATAATTGGCGCCGTCGGCCGCCCTGCCCCGCCCTTGAAACCGGAAGTGGGTGACTGGCAGAAGAAAGGCACTTCCGGTGGCGTTCTAATCATGCCTTTATGGCGGGACGGTGTTCGTGCGCGCGAATCTGCCGCGCGCCGTGCGGCTGTAAAGTATCGAGCGAGGCAAGCGAGTGGCGGATGCGGCACCCAACGTGTCTCCCCGCCGATGCGACTACAACCGAGCGTGTGACCCCACCAATGGATTGCTCTCCGAACGAGGAATCCATTGGTGGGGTCACACGTTCGGTTCGAGACCCATTTAGCGACTCTGGAGCTCAAAACGCGTGTGGAGTTTTGGCCGCCTCCACCGGCCTTCTAGCCCACTGTGTGTCCACTCCTTTGTGGGCACCGCGCCGTCGCCGTCTCACAGGGCTTTACTCTGTCCGTCAGTGATGCTATTGCACGGACGGAGGCGGGGCGGCGCGGGGCGGGGCGTCGCGAGCAAACGGACCGTGCACCACAAGGCACTGTTGCCAACGCCGAAAAGAAGGCAGGGCGTGTTGAATGGCTCGCCCCGTTGGCGTCCGTTGGCCGGCCTGGCGGCGGCCTAACCTGTCTGTCCCCGTTTCGGCGAGCGCCTGTGGAGTCGCGGTAGGCAACCGGTGCTGAGCGGCGCGCGGACGCGCTGCGGGCGGCGTGCCTGCCGGGCGGCCGTCCGCGACAGCCGTGCCAGCAGCCCGCTTGTCTACTTGGCAGTACGCGATTTGGGTTTGCCCGAAGGGGTGGGGGTCGCTGTTCACTACGTTGGCCGGGTCCTCCCGGTGGGGCCCGGCCCGCGGTGGGGCCCGTGGTGGGGGCGGGCCGAGGTGCAGCCCGCTCAGCGCCGCCAGTTTTTCCCGTGGCCGCGGTTTTCCCGCGCCGCGTCGCGTTGCCGTGCTTGGCGACGACAGCCCTCGGCGCCTCTCTGTTTTTGTCTCGAAGCCGAATTTCTGATGGAGCCGCTCTGTCTTGTCCTCCTCGAGCGGCGCAAGGCGAGCAAAGCGAACGGGGACAAACCGAAAAGGAACCCCCTTGACCCAGTTCGGCGCCGCTCGGCTGAGCGCGATGCTCGGTCTGCCCGGCGCAAGCAGGAACTTCCGGCTTGCGTCGCTGTGTCCGGCAGAGCGGCGCTGGCTGCCTGTGGGGCGCATCTGAACTGCCAACTACCTTCTCGGCGCTGCACAGTGGGCCAGAGGACCGGCGGAGGCGGACAAAACTCCAGACGCGGTTTGAGCTGCAGAGTCGCTAAGCAGGCCTCGACCTGAACGTGTGACCCCACCAATGGATTCCTCGTTCGGAGAGCAATCCATTGGTGGGGGTCACACGTTCGGTTCGAGTCCCATTCAGCGATTCTGGAGCTCAAAACGCGTCCAGAGTTTTGTCCGCCTACACCGGTCTTCTGGCCCACTGTGCGCTTGCCACTCACGTGAAGTCGAAGGTGCGCTTGAAGGCGGCCGACTCCGAGTCCCGGTCCGCGAAGATGCCCGGCGCCTCGGAGCGCACCGTGAAGTAGCAGTCCAGGCCGCGCTTGGCGCGCTCCAGCGAGTTCTTGGAGCACACCAGGTAGCGCTCCAGCCAGGCGTCGTCCTCGTCTGCGGGGGAAGAACGACAACGGGGCTTTTATTTCGCCGCCCACACTGTTCAAAAAAAAAATCTTGGGAATTCCCGTAGGGAAAAAAAATTGAAAAAAATTAGCAGCTCTTTAAAGTTTTAATTTTTGATGAGATTCCGGTAGGTATAGTACAAGAAAAAGAGTGTACCTCGGGAAAATTCGTTGGATTTTCCAAACGGGATTGTCTGGTGTTTTTCTGACAGTGTACACGCACCTGTGAGGTCGGGCAGGTGCGGCTCGTCGCGCAGCCACTGCCGCAGCTGCAGGGCGTCGCGCTTGACGCTGGCCGCGTCCGTCTCCACGCCCGCGTAGACGCGCTGCTCCTCGTCCGGGGTCGCCGCCGTCCAGATCTCGGGGCCCATCTTGGCCATCTGGGGGAGGGAGGCATTACGGAAACGTGAAAAATGGTCCAAGTGGCGTGGCCGGGCCGGGCCGGCCTGGCGCACAGTGGGCCAGAAGACCGGTGGAGGCGGCCAAAATTCTAGACGCGTTTTGAGCTCCAGAGTCGCTAAATGGGACTCGAACCGAACGTGTGACCCCACCAGTGGATTCCTCGTCTGGAAAGCAATCCATTGGTGGGGTCACACGTTCGGTTCGAGTCCCATTCAGCGACTCTGGAGCTCAAAGTGCGTCTAGAGTTTTGGCCGCCTCCACCGGTCTTCTGGCCCACTGTGCGGCGGCCTCATTGCAGGGGTGTCAGGGCCTCCACCGCGTTGCCGCCGCGCCGCCGCGTGCTGCCGGGCCAAGGCCGTGGAGCCGTGCCGTGGTTGCCATGGCGACGGCTAGCCTTAATGACGTTTGACGCTGGAGGGGGCAGGGCAGGGGCAGGGCCGGGGCAGGGCCAGGCCACCACGGGGTGCGAAGGACCCGAAGGACCCCAAGGGCTGGCTCTATCTGATGAGGCGCTAGGTGCAGGGCTAACTGCTGTTGGGGCAGTTTGCATTGTCGCGGTGCACTTAGCCGGGCCGGTAGGTGGCGAGGTGCCCGCTCATTGATTGACGGCTTAGCAGTGTAGCGCAACAACTCCCGGTGCAATGACCCCCCCAGTGTGGGGTGCGTCCAGCCAGGCTCGCTGGCATCGGAGATCGTTAGCAGGGCCGATGGACTCGAATGACAGACCGCGCCACTGTAACCACTGTGCACTGTGGGCGCCTCGCTCTGTCTCTCTCGCACTCGCTGCAGGGCCGGGCGGCCTGGCGGCGGCGCCACGGCGCGCGATCTGGTTCGCCTACCGGAACACCCTTATTTCCCCCAAGTGTGCCACCGCGCCCTTGGCGCCCAGCGCCGCCTCGCTCTGTCTCTCTCGCACCCGCAGCGGGGCGCCGGGGCCGGGCGGGCCGCTGCGAGTGCGACAGAGACAGTCGACCACTTGCATTTCCATGGATTGTGGGTCAGAGCGACAACGAGGGCGTCTTCTCCTGAGATTGTATCGCCAATCGGCGGCCTGCTATCTGCGCGTCAACCTCCGGCAACAACAACAACAACAACAAGATTTCATTGCTCACCGGGCGTCGAGGCGTCAGCGCTTTCAATTTCCCATTTTGTTTTTGTTTCCGCCGGTCCAGCCCGCCGATCGCACCGCGCCAGGAAATGAGGTAAAACGAAAAAAAAAGTTTGGTTTGCCGGGATTTGAACCGGGGACCTCGCCGTGACTCCGTCCCGGTGCGCTGCTTGGCACAGCCAGCCGGCGTGTGCCGAGGGGCCCGAGGGGAGCCAAGCGCGACGCCACACAGTGCAGCGACCTGTAATTGCCATTTTTGAGAAGGCGCCCGCTTCGCACGTTGCACCCACACTGTAAACATTCCGACGCGCTTTGCCGAATTTTTTCGAAACGAATGTGTTTGCATCACCGACGCGAAAGCCTCTCTCTGCACTGTGAAAATTTGAGTCGTTACTTGATGACAATTTCAAGGCTAATTTTCCTTACAAGTGTCAAAGTGATGAAAATGTCATCCACGTTTTTGTCATAAAGTGACAACAAATTTTCACAGTGTGAGTGATTTGACGATGACACCGATCGTGCGCCATTCAGACAGGGGCCGTTCCCCAAATTGGGCACCCGAAGCGTCCACTCCGCGAAACGCAATCCGAAAGTCTTCTCGCGGCACCGCTCGGGGAGTCATCGATATCTCTCTTCCTCCTCGTCTTCGGCGCCGTCTTCGGCGATCGGTCCTATCACGCCGATTGGAGCCCCCAAGACCCCGCGCCCGCTGTTGCCATTGCGTCCTCGGCAGTCAGTCGACGGGGAAAGGCTGCCACTTTTTTAGGAGAGAGAGACAGACAGACAGACAGACAGAGAGCGCAAACAGAGCGGTAGATTTAAGGGACAGTTGGCCTATAGCGTTTTTAAGGGACACAAAAAATCAACCTATTTTTTTTTTTTTCAAAAATAACAAGTACATGAAAATGATAAAAGAGGTATAAAATTGTTCCCATAAACAATTAATTTGTCAATTAAATGCAATTCCAAAGCTAATTTTCCTTGCCAAAGTTTCATCATAACCTCGTTGATGACAGTACTATCACACCCGAGCGAATGATTGAATTTTAAAAATGGAATTAAAAGCGAATGCCGTCCACGAAAAAAGAAAAGTCGGGAGTGCAGCAGAGAGCGGCAGGGAGGCGGACGGGACGACCCTCTAAGTGGGACCAACAAAAGTAATTGGCGGCTGCAACAGTGTGCCGAACGTTCGGCCGGTCAATATCCTACGGCCTGGCTGGCTGGCTGGCTGGCCGCCCGGCTGGCCTCTCCGTCTCGCTGTTTGCCTCGGTGTTGACTCGACACCGACAGCCTCATCAATGATGGAGGCGCCCAAGTTTGTCGTCCCGGATAAACACAACGAGTGGCGTTCTCTGCGTGCGGCGCGTGCGCCCACTGCGAGTCGTTTTCTCTGTCTCCCTCGCACCTGGACGGGTGGAGGCGGCCGAAACTCTAGACGCGTTTTGAGCTGCAGAGTCGCTAAATGGGACTCGAACCGAACGGGTGACCCCACCAATGGATTGCTCTCCGAACGAGGAATCCATTGGTGGGGTCACACGTTCGGTCCGAGGCCCATTTAGCGACTCTGGAGCTCAAAACGCGTCTAGAGTTTTGGCCGCCTCCACCGGTCTTCCGGCCCACTGTGAGTCAGCCACCTACCTCGTCGAGTTCCACTGCTGTCTGTCCGGAGCACGGGGCTGACGCGTAGGGCTGGGCGGCGCGGACGCTCTGGAGGCTCTGGTGGTTCTGGAGGCTCCGGAGGTACCCGTCGGCGCTCGCCAGGTACCCCCGGCCCGAACCTACCCGAACACGCCGCCGAACCTGCCCGAACGCCGACCACTCCGCGGGTGCCTGCCAGCCTGCCTGCAGCGGTACCCGGGGGCGGGGGGCGGGGGGCGGCGGGGAAAAAGAGGATGCATTTTGTGGGAGGCTGAGGCCGCATTGTCTAGCTCCGCGGCATGCCATGCCCCGGGGCGTTCTGAGACAACCTAGGCAAAGACAAAGGCGGCTCCGTTTCCAGTTTGGAGCTCTCTGGACACAGAAAAGAAGAGCACGCCGGGAATCTGGCCGTGCCTGGGTGTACTCCAAGAAAAGTGCGTCGGATCGGCGAATTTTGAACCGAATCGGACACGAGGTCCCCGCTGGCTGCTCCGCGAAAGCCGTTTCGCGGGCCTGGCCCACATTGCGGCGCGGCGCTCTCCAGCCCCGCGAGCCCCGCCAAGCCCCGCAAGGGCAAGCCCGGCAAGCCCGGAGGCGAGGCCCGCCGTTTACTGTCTCGCTAAGCTGCTCGTCTGAATGGCGGTCGCGGTCTCAGTGGGCCGGAGGACCGGTGGAGGCGGTCTAAACCCCGGACGCGTTTTGAGCTCAGAGTCGCTAAACAGGCCTCGAACCGAACGTGTGACCCCACCAATGGATTTCTCTCCGAACGAGGAATCCATTGGTGGGGTCACACGTTCGGTTCGAGGCCTGCTTAGCGACTCCGCAGCTCAAAACGCGTCTTGACTTTTGGCCGCCTCCACTGGCCCACTGTGCGCTGCAGTCCGTCAAGGCCCGGGCCTTCTCGGCCGCCCTAGCGGGCCCAGTTTGGGCGCCTTCGGTACAGTTAGAAGTACGGTGCCGGCGGCCGGGCTGTCCCAGCGCCTTGTGGGTGGCGAGGCCGTGGCCGCGTCTTGGCCGGGCCGCTCTAGGCGTCACGAGTCGCACCGACTTGGAGCACCGTGTGCACGCGCAGTTTTTGTTGTTGTTGTTGTTGGAACGGATGCAAACCAATGGCGCCGCCGTTGTCTCTGTGCGCTTCAAGAGATGATGACTCATCCGCTAGCGCCTCTCGCCGTCTCTCTTTCTCTTGACGGCGCTCTCTCTCCTCTCTCTCTCTCTCCCCTCCCCCTCTCTCTCTCTCTCTCCCTCTCTCTCCTCTCTCTCTCTCTCTCTCCTCTCTCTCTCTCTCTCTCCTCTCTCTCTCTCTCTCTCTCTCTCTTTCTCTGCCCCCCGAGGCGTTCGCTGCTCCTCTGCCGGCGCGGACCAAAGCTGGGATGCGCCCTCCCGGAATGGGGACGGTCACGATTTTTCCGCGATTCCCCCTTTTTTTTGCGCACTCTTTGTTGTTGTTGTTGTTGTTGTTGTTGTTGTCGTCCATATCTTCACGGGAGTGTCTTGCCGTCGCTGTGCCATTTGTCGCAAGTGAGAGTTGCAGTGTAGCGACGCGGCCGGTCCAATGGGGCGGAAACGAGCCCGTCTCGATTTTAGTGACGTTTTTAATTTGCTACGCTGGGATGTCGGTACTTCATCACGTTTGCTTTCCCTGTGTCGTCCTCGGCAGAGTCCGTCTGCACGTTTTTCTTTTTTTTCGGCGGCCGTTCCCGAGGGTGGCCACGGCGTACGCATAGTGGGCCGGAAGACCGGAGGAGGCGGACAAAACTCTAGATGCGTTTTGAGCTCCAGAGTCGCTAAACAGGTCTCGAACCGAACGTGTGACCCCACCAATGGATTCCTCGTCCGGAGAGCAGTCCGTTGGTGGGGTCACACGTTCGCTTCGAGTCCCATTCAGCGACTCTGGAGCTCAAAACGCGTCTGGAGTTTTGGCCGCCTCCACCGGTCTTCTGGCCCACTGTGGCACGGCCCGTGTGCCTTACTGGCCTGCAAGCCCGCCGCCGGAACCCCCGCCCCGCCCCGGCGTGGCCAAGCAGTGCGCGGAGCACGCGGAGCACGCGAAGCGGGGCTCTCATGCGCGCCGCGCCGCCGTGTCGTCGCTACACTGCCAGACTGTTAAACCGTGTTTGGCATGGCCGTTTCTCAGCCACCGACGCGCCCGGACGAAGCTGGCGGCTGAACCGGTGACAAATAAGTGGAAATGACGGCAAAAACTGCCCCCGATGCACCAATGTCGAAAGGGTTGCCAGCCCCAGCCTGTCGCCTCCTCGAGCGAGTCCTCGAGGCAAAGCTCAGTGCCAGGCTGGCGGTGCCTGCAGCCGTATCGAGACGCCGAAGACGCGGCCCTCTAGGACTTCCATTTTAAAAGAAAAGGAAGCCCCCCGCAAAATGATGAGTAAAGTGTCCTGGCCGCCTCGCAAAGAAGCCGCGGGCCAGCTCGTGCGCCCGGGTAGTTATTTAGCACGCGGACAAAGGCGGCGCGTCCAGAAGGCGCCGTCGGACGGACACACAGTGGGCCAGAGGACCGGTGGAGGCGGCCTAAACTCCAGACGCGTTCTGAGCTCCAGAGTCGCTAAGCAGGACTCGAACCGAACGTGTGGCCCCACCAATGGATTCCTCGTTCGGAGAGCAATCCATTGGTGGGGTCACACGTTCGGTTCGAGTCCCATTTAGCGACTCTGGAGCTCAAAACGCGTCTGGAGTTTAGGCCGCCTCCACCGGTCCTCTGGCAAATCCACGGTGGGACCGCCTGGGCGGCAACCTTCTTACCCCAGTTCTCATTAAGATAGAGAGGGTGCACGTTCTGCATGGACGCCCCCGACGAAAAAAAAAGAGCGAATGAAGTTTTTAATTGTTAATGAAGAAGAAGAGTTGCTTTCAAATTCAACTCGGCCCGCAATTGAGGGCATCATCGCGCCAAAACGGGAATCGAGTGTGTGTGCGTGCGTGCGTGTGTGTGTGTGTGTGTGTGTGTGTGTGTGGTGTGTGTGTGTGTGAGTGAGTGAGTGAGTGAGTGTGAGAGTGTGTGCGAGCGATACTGCGCCCTGCACTGCCCGCGGCACTTGCAATTATGAATGTCCGTCCATCCGCCGCGCCCTGCCGCGCCCTGCCGCGCCCTGCCGCGTAGTGCGAGATGGTAATTGGCTGAGCGATAGCGAAGCCCATGCCGTGTTTGGGCGCACCAAAAAGTGACTGGTCGTGAGTCTGTCTGTCCGTCTGTGAGTCTGTAGCGTACACGCTCACGTTTCTCAGCAACTACAACACCAATTGTTCCCAAATTTCGCATTGAACATCTCCAAAGTGTCCCACAGGGGGAGTTTATCTTAGATCAACAATTATCATCGTTTGAAATATTCAAAACATCGTTTTGAACTAGGTTATTAGCGTTGTTTGGTTGGTAGCAGTGTGTGGCTTACCAATTTCTCATACCGGCTGCCGCGCTTCCAAGCCGTCTGCAAGACAGGACGGTACTTATGCAAATAAACAAACTGAAGAGCAAAGGGGCTCTCAAATAGGTTCTGAGTTAGTTTTTTAACATTCTAGAATGATTAAAACCCTTCCGGAGTGTCAACAGAGGAAAATACGAAAACTGAAAGTGAGAATGGTTTGCGTGTTTCGTGCCCCTCTCCCCCCTCCCTCGTCACAGGGGAATCTTCCTGCAGGTCAGTGCACTGTGAGTGTAGTTGTGGACTGAAAATAGAATGTTTTCTTTGCCTGTTACTTTGTGTGTATCAACTGATTTTATTTTCTCTGATACCATCCTTATTTTTAAATTTATTTTTAAATTTCATAGAAAATCAAATTAGGTGAATGCATGAATAACTTCTGTTGAAATTAGAAGACAAGTTACATGTCTTTGTTTGACTCGGGAAATGACATCCTATTTTAATGCTGCAACCTAACATAAATATTCTTGTACTAGCATCTATTGATTAAAAGAATCCACATATGGATGTGTATTTTTAATGCTAATAAATTTTGAATTGATATTGGATTCAATGAGACGATTCAGATTGTGAGCGGTGAGTGACTTGGTAATTGGATTTAATGAGACGATTCTTTTCACTTCACCAAAGTTTGTGTCCGATAACTGGAACTTAGTATTGGTAATAGTTTAAATGTGGCTCTCCGAACAAAAGCCCAATGCCTAATGTTAATCCTGTACTGTCATCTTTTACTCCAAAGATAAACTACCACAAGACATGAATAAGATAATGGCGTATTGAGCAAAAAGTGGCCTCTGCATTGGACTTCATGAGACAATTCACTGAATTTGACAAAACTTGGTCTCCGTCTTATGCTTCAGATCAGCCTGCCCTAAACTGATTCACTTAATAAAACCTATGATTACATATTCCAGTCTATATTGTTTAATTCACTGGTTTAAAATGAAAGAATGACAAAAGGCTACTCAAATATAACTAATAAATTAGTAAATTCATTAGTTTGAAGAAACAGATATATCGAGTAGTGACTCAAGCAGACGATTAGCCAATTAAGCGATTCAATGGAATGTTACTCGACTGAGGAATCGCATTGGTTTCGCATTAGGGTGACGACATGGGGTGATCCATGAACCCAGACCCATACTCTATCCGTTATTAATCAATTCAATATCAATATTTTTCAATTGAATCTCACATTAATTCTTGCAGTTTTTGGAGTGCCAATCATGAAAATCACTTTCATTTCTACTCCAGACTTATAGTTTCATCTCAAATTAGCTCATTTTTGACCAAACTTTTCAGGTCGAGTTTTATATTGTTTCCTGCAGTCTTGGGTGTGCTGAACTCAAAAATGACTTCCAAATTTTTCCCAGATTCACACTTTACCTAATTCTGACCAAATTTTGACCAAAATTTTTGAGTTGAGTTTGATGTTGATCTCAGTAGTTTTTTGTGTCCTGATAACGAAAATCACTTCCATTTCGACTCCAGACTTATATTTTCATCCCAAATTAGGTCATTTTGGACCAAAATTTTCAAGTCGAGTTTTATATTGTTTCCTGCAGTTTCTGGTGTGCTGAACTCAAAAATGACTTCCAAATTTTTCCCAGACTCGCGCTTTACCCAATTTTGACCAAATTTGGACCAAAATTTTTGAATTGAGTTTGATGTTGATCTCAGTAGTTTTTTGTGTCCTGATAACGAAAATCACTTCCATTTCGACTCCAGACTTATATTTTCATCCCAAATTAGGTCATTTTGGACCAAAATCTTCAAGTCGAGTTTTATATTGTTTCCTGCAGTTTTTGGTGTGCTGAACTCAAAAATGACTTCCAAATTTTTCCCAGACTCATGCTTTACCTAATTTTGACCAAATTTGGACCAAAATTTTTGAATCGAGTTTGACGTTGATCCTAACAGCTTTTTGCGTGCTGAAAACGAAAATCACTTCCATTTATACCCGAGACCTACATTTCACTCAGAGCCCATAAGTTGCTCATTTCGTCCAGTTAAGCAAAGTCCGAAGTGCAGAAACTAATTCGCATCGCTCAGCCACACTACGCGCCCACAGTAAACGGCGCGTACCCCTAGTTAATAAAGTGTGGCCGACCCCACTCCACTGCTAGCCGTTTTCGAAGTGAGCCGGGACGTTCTGGCCGCTGCACAGTGGGCCAGAGGACCGCTGGAGGCGGACAAAACTCCAGCCGCGTTTTGAGCTCCTGAGTCGCTAAATGGGACTCGAACAGAACGTGTGACCCCACCAATGGATTGCTCTCCGAACGAGGAGTCCATTGGTGGGGTCACACGATCGGTTCGAGTCCCATTTAGCGACTCAGGAGCTCAAAACGCGTCCTGAGTTTTGGCCGCCTTCACCGGTCTTCTGGCCCACTGTGCGCTGCCGCGCGGAAAGCTCTATGAAAACAATTGCCTCGCGTCCAAACGGCCCAGCCGGCGCGGCTCCGTGGCAGGAAAGCCCGGGCGAGTTTCCCGCCTGTTGCTCTCTGCCCGGAAAGTGTGAAAGCTGCGAAGCTGCGGCATGCGAGTCGATGGCTCTATGGCGGCCCATGGCGGCCCATGGGGCAGCAAGGCGGCCGTAAGCGCGCAGTAACGTTGCAGTAACAGTAACCTCTAATGGCTGTTTTCTCTCTGTTCCCAGGTGAGTGCCGTGTCCCTGTCGCGAGGCTGTCGCGTGTCGCTGGGATGCTGGGCCACCACCGCCTCCTGCAGGAGGTCAATTCTCAACCCACTTTTTTTCGCAAAGTTTTGACGCACACCTGATTGATTGTGGAGTTGTTTCGGCGCTGTCGCGCGTTTGGCGAATGACCTTGGTCGGTCTCCCCAGAAAGCGAAAAACCGAATTCGGTGCTGGCGGCGTCCTTGGGCTGTGTGGGCGCTGCGCGTGTCTGGTGTGTGGGAGGCCCAGCACTGTGGGCCAAAAGGCCGGCGGAGGCGGCCAAAACTCTAGACGCGTTTTGAGCTCCAGACCACAGTCGCTAAATGGGACTCGAACCGAACGTATGACCCCACCAATGGATTGCTCTCCGAACGAGGAATCCATTGGTGGGGTCACACATTCGGTTCGAGCCCTGATTAGTGACTCTGGAGCTCAAAACGCGTCTAGAGTTTCGGCCGCCTCCACCGGTCTTCTGGCTTACTGCGGCAAGCCCGGCCGAAGCCGAGTTCACCGCGCCAATCGGGAGAGCACCTCCGCGGCCTCCCCCGGGGCCTTGAAGGCGCCAGGCAGCCAGGCAGCGCCCGCGACGCAGGCAGCCCAACGCACAGCTTCTTACATCACTCGTGCCCCACTTTCGCTCTCGTTCGGGCCGTTGGGGGAAGGGGAGGGGAGGGCACTGCGAATAGTGGCCGCACCGCGCCGCGCGGGCCGAGGGGGAGGCTTCGCGTTGTCGTGGAGTGCGTGTGCGTTTATTCGGAGGAACTTTAACAGGTCGGCGATGAGGTGCTGGTTGGTGGTGGCGGTGTGGTGAGGGTGAGGGCCGTGGACTCCAGGCTGCAGGCCTCGGCAGGCCGCGCCGCTGCGGGCTGGACGGGCTGGAGGGGGGTGGCGGCGCCCCGCGAGACTCCGCCTGCTCCGGCCGCGGCTAGGCAACCCTTCCGGCGCGCGGGTTGGCAGGCTAGTCGACGGCCAGGGTGCGGAAGGAGCCCGGGCAGCCGATGTCGTCCATGAAGCTGGCGGGCGCGCCGACGCGCTTGGACTCGTCCGTCTTGACGCTCTCCTGGGCCAGGAACCAGTCCCGGTGCGCCGACAGGTAGCGGCGCCACTGGGCTGTGGGCAGAGAGGGCGTGTGGTGGAGGTGCACAGTGGGCCAGAAGACCGGTGGAGGCGGCCGAAACTCTAGACGCGTTTTGAGCCCCAGAGTCGCTAACCGGGACTCGAACCGAACGTGTGACCCCACCAGATTCCTCGTTCGGAGAGCAATCCATTGGTGGGATCAGACGCTCGGTTCGAGTCCCATTTAGCGGCTCTGGAGCTCTGCACGCGTCTTTGGCCGCGGGACGCACCGTTGCCCTCGCGCAGCGAAGGCCCCTCGCCGCCGTAGTCCTGGGGGATGCAGTCCGCCGGCAGGGTGTCCTTGAGCATGCTGCTGCCCGCCGGGTGCACCACGACCTGCAGCAAGGCGGTGGCGGAGAGAGGTGTTGTGCGATCGATTAACTTCGAGGACATGTCCCTCAGTGTCGTCTACTCACGCGGCTGTAGAGCTTCTCGCGCATCACGTGGCTCAGGAGGTTCATGACGGATGACAGGAACGGTGGCAAGTTGATGATGTGGAACTGCTTCATGCGGGCGGGGTACATTTTCTGGTGGGGAAACGAATCCAGCTCAGGACAATTGAGTTAACTGAGGTGGGCAACCCTTCCGCCACTGCACAGTGGGCTGGAAGACCGGCAGAGGCGGCCAGAATTCGAGATGCGTCTTGAGCTCCAGAGTCGCTGACCAGGACTCGAATCGACCGTGCGACCCCACCAATGGACTCCTCGTTCGGAGAGCAATCCATTGGTGGGGTCACACGCCCGGTTCGGGTCCCATTTAGCGACTCTGGAGCTCAAAACGCGTCACTGACCAGGCCGCCGCGGAGGAACTTGGCGAACAGGGGCAGGGCGAGCGTGAAGTCCCGGAAGCGCGCGGCGCTGCCGTTGGCCAGGTCCACGACGAGCACGTCGCCCCGCGACAGGTCGTCGCGCATCAGCAGCTCGCCCTGCATGAGGATGCGCCGGAACAGCGCCGCCACGCTGAAGCCCTTGGCGTCGGCCGACGGGTACGCGTAGTAGTGCACGCGGAAGCCCTCGGGGGTGAGCCGCGGCATGGTGGCCACCAGGCTGCGGCAGGCCAAGTCATGGAAAAGTCATCGGAAGCGAAATTGCAAATATTGTGGCGACCTTGTAACAGGGCCCCTCCGCGCGAGGCTAGCGAGGCTAAACACGCTGCCACAGAATGCAGGCGAATTTGCATGACATGCAACAACAGGCTGCCAATGGCGAGATTAGCGGGGGGACAGTGCTCTGTCCCACAGTGGGCCAGAAGACCGGTGGAGGCGGTCCAAGTCCCGGACGCGTTTTGAGCTCCAGAGTCGCTAAATGGGAGTCGAACCGAGCGTGTGACCCCACCAATGGATCGCTCTCCGAACGAGGAATCCATTGGTGGGGTCACACGTTCGGTTCGAGTCCCATTCAGCGACTCTAGAGCTCAAAACGCGTTGAGATGTTTTGGCGCCTCAATGGACTGACGTGGTGTCGAGGCTGCCCTGCACGTCCGGGGCGGTGGGGTCGCGCTGCGCGAAGAACTCGGGGATGGTGGCGCGGCTGGACAGCAGCACGTCGAGGGCCTCCTTGGTGCGCTCCAGCGAGTTCTTGCAGCGCAGCAGGTACATCCGCAGCATGTGGTCCACGTCAATGCCGCGCCCTTAAAAAAAACCAAATTTGCTTTGAAAAAAAAAATAGTTTGGCGGGGGAGTGATATTGTACATTTCAGATTAGTCAAGGAGAGGGTCCTGAATTTACATCGCGGCTGCGTTTGCGGTTTCTGTGGACGTGTGACTCTGTGTGCGCGTGTGAAAGCGCGGGGTTGGCTCCCGATTGGTTTTGGCGGCCAATTTGAATGTGGCACGCGCCTCCCGCCCCGTCCGTATGCCGCGCGCATCGCCACGGCGCCGCCGCTTTCATGTGTTCCTTGTGCAAGGCGGTGACGCCGCGGCGCGCCTCGGCGACGGCTGCCAGGCGAATCGTCTATTGCACAAGTGTGTGTGCGTTTGTGTGTCCGTCCACCCAGAGGGGGTGGGTGGCGGTGGCCCGGCGAAACGCTTTGTCCAGTGGGCGACCCGGCAGGCCGCACAGTGGGCCAGACGACCGGTGGAGGCGGCGAAAATCCCGCACGCGTTTTTAGCTCCAGAGTCGCTAAACGGGCCTTTGGCCGCCTCCACCGGTCTTCTGGCCCACTGTGGGCCGTCAGCAAAATAGCCAATGTCGAAAAGCGCCCCCGCGAGGGCGAGCAGGCGCTCAGCGCGCGGCGTTGGGTTGGCCAACGCCATGGCTAACGCGGCCTGCCTCTGCCCCTTGTTGGGGTCGGCCCGACTGCGCCAGACTGGTGGCGTCGGATTGAAGCGGGCCACTCGGTATTCCGGCGGCGCCCTGTGCGTTGGCTTCGGATCAAAGAGGGCTCCTTCTTCGCAACACTCGCGGGGCGCGGCAGCCGGCGGTAGCGATCCTGGACGAGTCCTGGAATCTGCTGGAGTGTGTGACCCGACCAATGGATTCCTCGTTCGGAGAGCAATCCATTGGTGGGGTCACACGTTCGGTTCGAGTCCCATTTAGTGACTCTGGAGCTCAAAACGCGTTCTTGGAGGCGGTGCACTCACCGTCCAGGCTGGGCAGGTGCGGCTGCATGGCCATCCACTGCCGGATGGCGGCCACGTCCCGCCGCAGTGTGTCCTCGCTGGCGCCCAGCTCGGCGAACATCCCCTGGAGCTGCTCGGCGCTGAGTGGCTCCCACATGGCGGCCTGGCCGCCCGGCCCGCCCGGCAAGCCTTGCGGCATCGGGGAGATCTGGAACAAGAGCGGCCGCCGCCTGGCTGGCTATTTCGGGGCGCAAGCGTCGCACAGTAGGTCAGAGGACCGGTGGAGGCGGCCAAAATTACCGACGCGTTTTGAGCTCCAGAGTTGCTAAATGGCACTCGAACCGAACGTGTGACCCCACCAATGGATTGCTCTCCGATCGAGGAATCCATTGGTGGGGTCACACGATCGGTTCGTGTCCCATTTAGCGACTCTGGAGCTCGAAACGCGTCTCCCGTGTCGGCCGCCTCCACCGGTCTTCTGGCCCACTGTGCTTGGCCAGCGTCAAGCTTGGCCCCTAAGTGCCCTGGCAAACCCTTGTCCGGTCGCATCCCCTGGAGACGCCGTGACACGGTGACGCTGGCAGAGGGGCGGCCCACACTGTAAAGGCAGCCAATCGACTGGAACTAAAGGTTCCGCCAATCGTGGCGAACAGTTCACGGAGAACCGCGGCGAACTATCTCCCTGTCTAAATGACAGTTGTACCAAAGAAAATGAACCATAAATTGAAGTCTGTTTGACTCGGCTATTTTCACGGCGCGTGCACTGCGCGTTGCACTGCTGGCTTTCTGACCGCGGGCCAGCATGATTTTTTAACGCTTTGAACACACTTCGGGAGTTCCTCCGCGACGCAGCCAAGCTCGCCGACGCACAGCTCAGCGCCGCCAAGTTTTTCTTTGAAACCGGAGAAGCGGGAGCGCACAGTGGGCCAGAAGACCGGTGGAGGCGGCCTTAACTCGTCGCGTTTCGAGCTCCAGAGTCGGTAAATGGGACTGGAACAGAACGTGTGACCCCACCAATGGATTGCTCTCCGAACGAGGAATCCATTGGTGGTGTCACACGCTCGGTTCGAGTCCCATTTAGTGACTCTGGAGCTCAAAACGCGTCTAGAGCTTTGGCCGCCTCCACCGGTCCTCTGGCCCACTGTGGGGCGGCGGGGGCTCCTTGCCTCGGCGCCGCGGAACTTGGTGGGTTTGCAAGTTACCCCGCGCGGGGCCCGGCGGGCCGGCCAGGTGACGGGCCGGGGTAATTTGGGGCAAGTTGGCCCGTGATTACCTTAGTCGTGGCACTTACCCCGGCGCTGGAGGTAAGGCACTGAGCCACTCCACTGGCAAACTAAGTAAACGGAGTGAACGCTACGTCCCCCGGTGTTTACAAACGAACTGCGGCCGCGCACGGCCGGCCCCGGGTATATAGACCCCGCCCCGCCCCTCCTGCAGCGGGTTCCGTTGTGCTCCGTGCAGACAGACGGGGAGGGGGCGGCCCCCCTCCCCCCGAAGAGCCCGCAGGGTAGGTCAGGGCGCTGGACTTCTTTGTGGCAATCCTCTTCGCGTCGAACCGGACCCGAGCCAAAGCGCAGGGTTTCGTGGTGGGTTTGAAATCTAGAAGTGCGCGCGACTGCGGTTCTAAAGTCCCCCACCCCCGTTTTCCTAATTGGGAGCTTCCCTGCCCGAAACAACAAAAAAAAAGAACACCGCCAGCAGCCCTTTTTTTTTTGCTGAACAAACTAACTGCTCCGTGTCGCTGCTTTGAAAGCGGTGTCATTCTGATTGAACAAAACGGCGCTCCGTTTCGCGTGCGTGGCTCGCAATACAATCACTGCAAGCGCCATCAAACGGGCTCTCCGAATTTCGGATGCCTTTGACTGTGCGCCGCGGCAGCCAATCAGTGCGAGAGAGAGAGGGAAACAGTTTTGTTTTGAGAGGGAGGGGAAAGCTTTGAGTGATTTTGCCACAAATTGGTTGGCGTTAGTCGGTGCAAGTGTAAATGACGCGTGCAGTTTTGTGTTGTTTTTGTTTGCGTTTGTGGGACAAACATTGGCGCGCCGGGAGCGCCTGGCAGTTAGGCCTTTCCGCTGCGGAGGACAGCACTGCGCGGCGGGTTGCCTACTCCTCGCTTCGCAGGGGCCTCGTGCCAGAATCTCTTTCTTTCTCCCACTTGCTGTGCTCCAGCTAATTGGTACTTGATGCTCTATTGAATTCGGCTTCGGTTTATTGACTGGAGACATGCTGACGAGACGAGACGGCGGGTGGCGCGGGTTCGAATCCCGGCGGGGCGGGGCGAAGGTGAGGCCGGCGCACAGTGGATTTGCCAGAAGACGGTGGAAGTGAACAAAATCCCGGACGCGTTTTGAGCTCCTCCAGAGTCGCTAAATGGGACTCGAACCGAACGAGTGACCCCACCAATGGATTCCTCGTTCGGAGAGCAGAGCAATCCATTGGTGGGGTCACACGTTCGGTTCGAGTCCCATTTAGCGACGCTGGAGCTCAAAACGCGTCTTGAGTTTTGGCCGCCTCCACCGGTCTTCTGGCAATTCCACTGTGCGGCTGTTCGTGTGTGGTTCGCTAATTTCTCGTATTTGTAGTGGCGTGGCCGCGTGGCAGAGGCTGGCCGGATGCAGGTGCAGTGCGCGGCGGCGCGGCGCTCCGGGTTGCCCAACCCGGCTTTCCTTTTCTTCGCGTTGACGGCCACCAACGCCGCGAACCGCACGGAGTGCGAACCGAGTTCGCGGAGCGGAAAAAAAAAGATGTAGCATTCTGCGTGATGAACAAGGTGAATTGAAGACCGCCTCGCAACGAATGAGTCTGCTGGAGGCCGGGGAGGGTCGCACAGTGGGCCAGAAGACCGGTGGAGGCGGCCAAAACTCTAGACGCGGTTTGAGCTTCAGAGTCGCTAAATGGGGCTCGAACCGAACGATCCATTGGAAGGGTCACACGTTCGGTTCCAGCCCCATTTAGCGACTCTGGAGCTCGGAACGCGTCTGGAGTTTTGGCCGCCTCCGCCGGTCTTCTGGCCCACCGTGGGTCGGTGGGCGATGTGAGTGATCTGGGGAGGCTGCCCCAGAGAGCCCAGGGCTGCCCTATCCGTCAGCCAGGCGTCCGGGACGGTCCGGGACGGTCCGGGACGAACTGGCTGCGGTGCGCTGCGGCGGCCGCGGTGCCTCGGAGACCCACCGACGGCAAGCCTTGCACGGCCAGGTGGAGCCAGAGGTGCCATTTGCCCCAGTATTTCCCCAGCGTTTAGTCCGAGTCCGTGAACCTGCCCGGGCAAGACTTCGTTTTCCGTCGGGCACGTTTTCCCTTTATAAAACTCATTTTTTTTTCTAACGTTTTTTGCTTTTGTGCAGATTTTTCCCTCTTCTTTTTTTTTTTGCAATTAGCCGGTTGTTTTGAACGCGAGCCGCGCCAAGCCGGGCAAGGGAAGTGCGGCAGGCACTGGCAGGCACTGGCCACTGACCCGAGGACAAGGCTTGCATGCTGCACTGTAGGCGAGTCCGAGGTTACAGTGCAGGCTGCGCTGCTGCGCTCGGGATGCGCTCCGGACTCCACCGAGTGTCAAAACATGGCGGGGCGTCGTCGGAAGGCTCTCTGGCTGTATCAGACGGTGCTTGCCGACGGTTCTCGGCTGAAGGTGGACAGTGTTCAAATTTTGGCGCCTTTTATTTTTCGGGGGAGGAGGGGGGGGATTCCTACATCCCTGGGGTGTCTCCGTGCCGTTCTCGAAGAGCAGGGGAAAGTCGTCAAGTCGCCAGAAACTTAACTCGCAATTTAGAGTCGAGGGGGGCTCCCGGTTCGCTGAGTCGGACGGCGGGGCCGGGACGGCGTGGACGGGGCCGCCAGAGCCAGAGCCCGGCGGTTAGGCTGCCCGCCCCGCCAGCGCGCCCATTGGGCGGCCTAAGCGGCGGGCGTGGTGCGCAGCGGTCGCAGCAGTGCGCAGCACAGTGGGCCAGAAGACCGGTGGAGGCGGACAAAACTCCAGACGCGTTTTGAGCTCCAGAGTCGCTGAACAGGACTCGAACCGAACGTGTGACCCCACCAATGGATTGCTCTCCGAACGAGGAATCCATTGGTGGGGTCACATGTTCGGTTTGAGTCCCATTTAGTGACTCTAGAGCTCAAAGCGCTTCCAGAGTTTCGGCCGCCTCCACCGGTCTTCTGGCCCACGGTGCGCAGTTCAGGCCTGTCGTTTTCGTCGCTCTGTCTCTCTCGCACTCGTTGGGCGTCCCGTTTGGGTGCGAGAGAGACAGAGCTACTCTCGGAATCAGTCTGCTGCTCGTCCCGACTACCCGACCTCCGTGCCTTATCACTGGCGGGGCGGGCAGGCCGAGCAGTGTACACACCGGCCGACTTTGTGGCCGGTCAACCAGGCAACCCCACAGCGCCTGCCTGTCCCCGTTGACCGTCGTCGTGCTGGTGCTGCTGCACTTTGCTGCGGTGGCGGTCGGCGCCGCTAAACAGCACTCGAACCGAACGTGTGACCCCACCAATGGATTCCTCGTTCGGAGAGCAATCCATTGGTGGGGTCACACGATCGGTTCGAGTCCTATTTAACGACTCTGGAGCTCAAAACGCGTCCGGGATTTCGGCCGCGTCCACCGGGCTTCTGGCAAACCCACCGTGGAGGCTGTCGTCAGGGCGCCTGAAACGCGGATAGGCTGACGGAAGGCACTAACTAATTGGTGTCCGTGATGGAGCGACTTTGCTCGGCTTGACAGTGTCACTGACAGTGTCACTGACAGCGTCACTGACAGCGTCACTGACGGCGTCACTGACAGTCACTGACAGACGCGTCGCGACGCCCTCCGACACCTTTCCTCGCCAGCCATTGTCGCGACGCGGCGACTCGGCGACGCGTTGACAGTGGCGGAGGCGCCATTTGTTCCGACCACCCTTTCTAGTGTCGAAACCATCGGCAACTTTTAAAAACAGTGCGTGTTTTCAAAATTGTAGTTATGTATCTGCGTATGCCAGTGCGTCCGCCCTCCAGGTCCCCGCCATCCCCGAGACCTGTTGTTGTTGCTGCTGTCCCAGTGTAGTACCGCCTTGACTCGCACAGTACTGTAGACTGACTGCGAGAGTCGTCTTCGGCGCTCTGTCTCCTTCGCGTCTATCCAGTACGCCCCACGAGTGCGAGAGAGAGGAGACAGACCGACGAAAACGGCTCTCGGAATCTGTCTGCAGCCCGCGGAGCGGCGTAGCGGGCCGCGGCGCCCACGGATTGGCTCGCCGTGGGAACGGATCGGGGCGTTTTCCGGACTCTATTTGCGTCGCCGCGCTGCACTTCGACGCCGTGCTCGTGGTCGCCATGCTGGTCGTCGTCGCGGTGCTCGTGCCGGCCGCACAGTGGGCCAGCGAACCGGTGGAGGCGGCCAAAACTCTGGACGCGTTTTGAGCTCCAGAGTCGCCAAGTGGGACTCAAACCGGACGTGTGACCCCACCAATGGATTCCTCGTTCGGAGAGCAATCCCTTGGTGGGGTCACACGTTCGGTCCGAGTCCTGTTTAGCGACTCTGGAGCTCAAAACGCGTCCAGAGTTTTGGCCGCCTCCAGCGGTCTTCTGGCCCACTGTGCTGCGCGGGCTGCGCGGCGTGCACGGCGTGGTCCTCGCAGTGAAAGCGGGATGGGTGCGAAACGCATCACTTAGGCGCGCGTGCCCGGAATCTAGCCTGGCTCCGCGCAGCCAGCGCAGCGCGCGGCACGGCCGGCACGCCGCAGTAGTTACGGTGGGGAGGCGGAGAGCTCGCCCGAGGAGGCTGAGCTGCTCCCGTGCGATGGCTACTGGTTAATCTGGCGGCTGCTTTCTGATTTCCGTGTACTGTCGCCGCACTGTGGGGCAAGACGGGTGGAGGCGGCCAAAACTCATCGAACCGAACGTGTGACCCCACCAATGGATTCCTCGTTCGGAGAGCAATCCATTGGTGGGGTCACACGTTCGGTTTAGCGACCATGGAGCTCAAACCGCGTCTGGAGTTAAGGCCGCCTCCACCGGTCTTCGCGCCCACTGTGCGTCGGGTCTCTCGGGTCGCGAAGGAAACTTGCAATGTTGTTGTTGATTTGATTTAATCGCGCCTGCTAGGTCGCGGGCGACCTTGCGGCGCGGTTTGCTATCATCAAAGCGCGTACTACTCCTATCGCTTGTTGTTGATGTTTTATTTGATTTTCCTGTAGCGGTGTCTGGGTACTTTTCCCGCTCGCAGATAGTGGAGACGAGACGGGCGTCCATTTTCAAGAACCAGTGTGGTGGACTAGGTGGCAACAAAGAATCCTCATTACGGCCACGCCCCGTGATAAGGCCTTATCCGTTGTTGTTGTTGTTGGCGCGGCCAGTCTTTGTTCTTGTTGTTTCCTACTTCCCCGACGTGGTCTTGCTGCCAG